GATTATAATCATTGTAATGAAACAAGGTGTATGATTTGTTGAATGTAAAACTGATGATCTGCCCTGTAATCTTTCACTCAATCCACAAAAACCTTAAAGAAAAAAAAAAGGAAAAAGGAGTGTAGGAGAAGTAACCTGATTTATTAACATCACAGTATTAGAAACAAGGCTTTCAGACTTTCAACATGGTTTATTCGTTCCTGTTTTACCTCCTAGTTCATCAACTAGTGCTTAGGGTCCTAGAAGCTTGCAAGTGGCCACCCATGACACAGCTGGTCTCTATTATCTGGGACAAGAAAGATGGAGACCCAGGAATTGAAGGCAATGGACTCCTGGTTTAATTGCCTCCATATATTACAAACTCCTTAATCATGGAATCAGAAGAAATGGATGGTGCCTCGCTAACATTACACAACGTTTTGATCAAAGATCTAGCAGCTGGCTCTTGATCAAATAGAGGAAAAGCTTTAAAGAGAACTTCAAACTCATACAGAAACCAAACTTACTGGCTTTTTTCAGACGGGGGAACCACTGAAACGAATGCCCAGAAATAATCTTTAATCCTTAAACCAAAACATTTCCATGAAGCCCTCATTTCACTCTACAACCATTTAGCCAAATTAATAATGGTTGCCTTGAGCGCTGTTAAGTGCTGTGAAGTGGGTTCTGACTCCTAGCGACTCTTGTCTAGGGTTTCTGAGGAGCAGCTGGTGGTTGAACAGCAAACTGTGTTGTTCGAAGCCACACCAGGAGTCACAGCACTCTTACACATGTTTGACATGAGCTGAATTTGACAACAGCTCATCTAAAGCAAGATGAGTACTTAAAGGGGCAGAAAGCCTAAAGTGATGGTGCTAAAACAGTAAAGGTAGACACAGTGAGAATGGTGTCACCATGGGAAGGATGGCATCCACGTCCTTGAACTGTTCCTGTAGAAATTAGGACACATGGTTGATTGTCAATTGTGAATACCTGCATGTATTATCACCAAAAATAAATATTAAAAACAGGTCTGAGTGAAATGTTACAGAGGACAGCTCTATGCTCTTTGAAATGGCTTATGTTTGTGTTATGACATGACATGTAAACAGTATGTCTTCCTGTTCATTAATATTCCTATCCATAACTGTTGTTAAATGCCTTCAATCAGTTCTGACTCATAGAGACCCTGTATAGGATTTCCTAGGCTTTCTACATAATATTATACAATGAAATGTAACTAGCATGTCTTCCTGTTCATTAATATTCCAATTCATGTTGTTAGGTGACATCGAGTCGGTACCAACTCATAGCGACCCTATGCACAACAGAACGAAACACTGCCTGGTCCTGGGCCAAC